GAGACACACAGCAATGAAGGTATACAAAGCAACAAAGGGCAGAGGAAAACACAGGACTTAAATACACAAGGGATTAACGAGGGAATCATTAAAGAAAACCAGAACCTGAATATTAAGAATAAAAAAACACAAACATGGAGTCAGCAGACTTCTGACCATGACAGATCAGTTAATTATTTTACTAATATCTACTTTCTGAAGAATTTTTTAAAAATACAATAATTTGGTCTGCAGTTAGCTGAAACAACTAACTGACCTTCAAAGTGAGAGAAATGTAGTGGTGTGTGGCCTGTAACAGAGATCAACTGATCAAATTCACCATTGTTGTAGGAACTTGGCCATGCTGATGATTTAGAGGAAGACACTACTTAATTTAGTTTGGAAAGCTTGACAGAAGAGAAAATAAATATAAATAAATATCAACAGTCATTAAAGTTGCTGTATTTAATGAAAGGCCCGCTGGAATCCTGTGAATATTTTTTCTCTAATAATTATACATTTTTATTTATTCAGTAATAATTAAAATTTTCACCTGAACATACTATATTGTCAATAAAAACTTAAATGATTGGTAAAGAAAATGGCACCACATCCCTACTGTAGATGTGGACTAAATGGTTTTAGATGCCATGAAAAAGTGTAAAAGTGTGTTTTTGGCTCGAAGTTGAGGAAACCGCTGCTTCTCATATCAAATGACTGAATGAAGCAAACTCTGTATTGTCTTAATATCCCTTCGCCAACGTAACAGAAAACTGAACCTGCCCCACAGGTTCGATGAGTGTGCGCAGCACGTGCACATTTGCGCGCACTCATCGAACGTCAGCTTTGTGACGTATCGAGAACCCGAGAATTCAAACTGTAGACAGACTTTTGGCGTGAAGAAGCTTCAGCGGACAATCAAATACTTGGAAATGATTAGGGTAAGTTTGCAGGATGGGTGCAGCTGCTGCAGAGTAACAGAAAATAATATTCAAGCCAGCTTCAGAAACACCCTTCATCACTGTTTTGGTGAAGCCCTGTCCACGGCACAAGGTAAGTCCCACAACTTGGATATATTAGTAAAGCTGTTTTCAGCAGAAATTACTAACAGAGTCAACACGTCGCTGGCTCGTATCACAGGGCCAGCTCCTACCCCACAAACTCATGACTCAGTGACAGGTATGAGCATTATGCAAATGGTGTATAATGTGACTGAGATTTTTGAATGCATCTTGAATGTCAGCAGAAAAATCACAGACAAGGCATCTGACAGCATGACATGCTCAGACTCTAACTGTAAGCAGACCTGCTGTCTAGATGTGGAGGAGGAGGAAGATGCAGAAATCCCACAAATAAGTGACTGTTCCTTAGAGAATTCATTGTGCACGGATAATCTGAGTCCTCCTCCAACTCCAGAGCTCCCTAAGTATTCAGAAACATTTGTCCCTTCAGCATTGATTTTAGCCTACCTTCACCAAGTCTGGAGTCTCCTGACTGTCCAGTCAACATGACCTTTCTTACTGTGCTTCTTGCTAAGTTAGTCGACCATATTGCATCAAAAACCAGAACATCCATACTAAACGTGGACCTGATTCAATTAATGGGTGGTGTAACAATGAGGGCTGAAAAAGAACTGGATTCCATTCCCCCACCAAGTATTGAAAACCTGCACATCCCCATCTATAAAAAGCTGTGCAAGGAGTTTGGATCCAAATACTTGTTGCAGGCTGCCATGGAATCTGGTGACGAAGCATTTGAGATTGCTGTTTCAGAGGTTTTAGTGTCACAGCTCCAGAAATCTTTAGTAAGGTCAAAGAATTCTGGGATGATACGGAGAGTTGTCAAGGATGGTAAACTTTCTCCAGTGCGTGAGATTCCAACACCAGAGTCCCCCAGTGAAGAAAGTAATGAACAAAAAATACCCCTGCCTTCAAGCACATCACCAGCCAGTACTCTCAAGAAGAGTACTGGCTGGTTTTCTCGTCTTTTCAACACGCTCAATAGAGCCCTGGACAGTGACATTCACAGACTTGACTATACAGTGACAAACCCACCCGTCTGGACAAACCCTGTTCTGTAATTTTTATCTTGAAAACTGATCTGAGGCTCATTTCTCAAGATAAAAATAAATGCAATGTAGGGCTTGTTAAAATACCTCTTAGAAAGTTAAGTTAACAAAGGAGATCTGGAATTTTAAAAAGACCTACAAACAATCATCTTTTCAAAAGTTGGGACATGTGCAACTATTTAAAAATAGTGCACAGATAATGATTATTGGACACATAAGCTGTAATGTTAAATGTAATACATTGGATAATTGAAAAAAATGCTAATTTGCTTTCTTCAAAACACAAGGTAAGACAAGAGTACACTCACCATGTGTCTGTCACTGGCCAGTTGTTAATGTCTGACTGTGTCCATCCTAAATTAGCTCAGCTTGTTTAAACTAGTGTCCAGAATACTTTTGTGATCTGAATGAATGTACCAACTTTTTGGAAAGATGGTTCTCTTTTCCATCACCCCCAACCGGTCGCGGCAGATGGCCCCGCCCCTTCCTGAACCTGGTTCTGCCGGTTTCTTCCTGTTAAAAGGGAGTTTTTCCTTCCCGCTGTCGCCACGTGCTTGTTCATAGGGGATCATCTGATTGTTGGAGGGGTTTTTTTGTAGGGTCTTTGCCTATGGTGCTATATCTCTATAACATCGTACTGAATTCTAAGCACCATAGAGGTTCTGTGGGTGATCATCAGAGGAAGGTTTAGGAGTATTTTGCTCCCTCAGCCGCTCTCTGGGGTTCATCCTGTGTTCCAGGCTTTCCTCCAGATTCTCCTATTGGAAATTCCAAATTTATTACAAAAAACAATTGGAAAATAAAAGACAACAACAACTGAAAAATAACTTGGATCTGTTTTTTTCTTTCTGACTATTTTTAAAGCTTTACGGCTGCTGCATGTTTTAATTACTGTGAGAATAGGCTCTGATTTCAGTGGAGATTCAGTTTATTCAGCGCCACAAACATGCTTGTAGACGTTTTTTTCACCATTTCACAATTATTCTGTTTGTTGTTAATTTAAAAAGTAAATAATAATCTAACAGTTATAGCAGTATTGTGCAAAAGTCTTGAACTACCCCATTTTTTAATAGCAACATAAACACACATACATAGTTACAATGCTATTATGATACATTGTGAGACACCATTGTGATCTGACATTCCATCCTATACTATGACATTGTCTTTGGTGCTCAGCTGAACTGTCAATGGTACATGATTGAGGAATTTATATAAAAATATTTGCATATAACTTATAAATGTTGGCACTCACAGTGGCCTAGGCATTGTTTAGTTAAAGTTTCATCTAGATTGGGTCACTTGTCTTGGAGGAACTAGGGAACATACAAACATATAAGGCTAAAATATGTTTTGAGACTACAGACAGAATTTTTGGGTTGAGAATTGCTTTAAAAGCTTTTTTAATAGTAAAAGACGACATGGTTTAGTCAAACAGTTTTGTAAGGATTATAACTAAACACTAGATGGAGACAAACACAAACTGAACTTCATGCCAGACACTGGTTTTATTAAAGTAAATGAAATTTAATACCGCGAAACTTCACATTTATTTGTTAACTAAAACACGGTTTAATTAGTGTCTAAACAACCTTAAAGTTTTGCAATGAGTTTTGGAAAAGAAGACAGCAAGATGGCAACCTTTAATCATTTACAGAATTGGACATTTTTCAACAATTTTTCTTAATTTGAAAATAAAAATCAACCCATTATGAACAATATTTATGCCAATAAGATATAATGTACTTTATGTAACTGCCACTGAAGGATGTCAGAGAGGAATACCTCAGGATCTTCCAAACTCCAGGGACGCGTGCCAAAGCTCTGATGAAGATGATGGTATGACAGAGTTCAGACAGCAGTTCTGATAATAAGAATGTCTAATACACCTCTTCCTGCAGACAATGTTCCCTCTAACTTTTCATGTGTCTGAGCAAACACACAAACTCCCTGAGCGGTTGATGGACCTGATGGGCCTGGGTCAGGGCTCATGCATTGTTCTTGGGTTTAATGAATATTATAATTTCTATCTGACTATGTGGATTGTTTATTGTTGTTGTTGGTGTGATCTGCTCCTGGTCCCTTGTTTCCCTGTCTCTGTGTTTGGGTGTGTGTGTTGCGGTGTGTGAGTTTTGCTGCCATACCAGGCCTGGAGAGTCTTCAGCCTTTGAGCCAGCCACACCTGGTGTAATCAGCCACCTGTTGTGGATCGTCAAGGAAACACTACTCAAGAGAGGATCGGAGAGGCAGCCAGCGCAGGATTGTTAGACTAGGAACATAGTCAGTGCTCCTGCTCACAGTTACTGTGGTCGCTGAACTTCTCCTGTTGGAATGGTGAAAGTGTTTTTGTCGGCTGGTGGATGGGACGGTACTCACTGTGGACTCTCTCGTTTCCAGGTGGATTGTGGAAACGTGTGGCGGGAGCAGCACACTGTTGTACAAAGGCACCGAGGAGGACTAAACACTTACCACAGATCACGGCACGGGGATTAGGAACGAGCGCTCAGAGAACACAGACGCTGTGGATTGTTGGCACTGTTTTATAGTTTCTTTTCATTGTAAATAAACGCACCATCTCCATTCAGAAAGTCCTGCATTTGGGTCCTACTTTCCCCGCACTGTGACAGGACCACTGTGAGCAACATCACACGTGTGCACTGTGGTCACGCCAGCATCCATCCAAGTTACATAGTTTATCAAAAGAATCAAAGTACAGCATTTACATTTCTGTTAGAATGTTTTAATTAAGTTCTTTAGCCCACTGACAATGAAAATTACAGAGGTCTTCTTCATGACCTGTAGTATGTTAATGCTATTGGAAGTATAAATATTTAATTTTAGCTGAGGCAAAACATGAACTGCCAACCAAACCAACTATAAACTCCAATTTTGAAAACACACTTAACATTTTTAATGTAAAGCTCTGACTTGTATTATGAGTATGAGCCAGTGTGTGAAGCTCCTGCTGTGGTCTGGGGGAGAGTCCTGTAACTCTTTGTCTGCAAAATACAGTAAGTAATGACATGATTATTTGCATTTCTACTACTCATAAAGTAGCGACAGTATTTAATGATCAATATCCATAAATGAAATTTATAAATAAATGACACTAGATGAGCACAAATCCAACTGAGAACTTAAATTTCACCTTATTTTTCCTGTGTGTCCTTCTCACTTCTCCAGTGGCTGCACTTTGTTGTTCCTGTTCTGGAGGAATTGAGACGTGTGCACCTTTTTAGAGATAAAATTTTGTTCACATTAAAACTTTCACATTTTGCACAGTGACATGTGTACTGTTGCACAAGCATGTGATACTGTGAAAATTCAATTAACTCTGCAGAATATATAATTACACAGTTTTTTCACCTTAATTTTCCCGTCTGCCCTTCTCACGTGGTTGTATGCAACGTCCAAGTTGATGGCCTCATCTGCTTGCAGGTTTGACTTTATGCGCATCAGCAGGTCCAAATGGTCCACTTCAAGACGATTCCTGGAATCTGTTTTCATACGATTCATTAAACCAGGGGTGTCAAACTCAAATACACAGTGGGCCAAAATTCAAAACTGGAACAAAGTCGCGGGCTAACGTTAATATTTATTGAAAAATATTTATTCCTCCAGATATAAGAATGAATCTTTTTTTATGGACTCAAACACGTTTTGCTGAAAAACTGAATATGGAACAAACAAAGATTAATACTAAACAATATATATATTAGCTGTATAATACCAGTAGGCCAGTTCTGATAGTAATTTGGTATGGCTTCGCGGGCCAAATGTAAGTAGGCTGTGGGCCAAATTTGGCCCACGGGCCAGAGTTTGACACCTATGCATTAAACTAAAGCCTCTTTCGCAATCTGCACTGGATGCTTGAAATGTAGCACAAATCTACAAGCTGTGAGATGTGTTTTAGCTCTTTACATTTTAGTGTTGCAGCCACCATATCTGAGAATGTGCTGATTGACCTGAGTTTAAGTTTTTGCCTCATTATGTACTTGAATTCAGCATATTCACTGTCACTGACCTCCACAAAATGTGGGTGGTGGAGAATTGCCTCATACTTCTTTGCCAGTGTGGCAATGTCTGCTGCTCCATACTCAGAGCTGATGTCTGAGCTCAATGCCTCAATGTCAAACGCAAACCACTCCTTTAATTTATCCTCTGAAAAACGAGCACCCAAGTGATCGTAGAGGTTACGAATCAAACGAGTAATCTCACCGGTATTTCCGCCACCAGCTGATGAGGCCCTCATTGCCTCTCTGACACGGTCACTCCACTTAACATCCTTTACCTCTGTTGAGTATTAGGAATGCAACTTCACAATCTTTGCTCTTGCAAAGCAGAGCTCTTCCATCACAGTCAGGTTGCATTTTTGAAAAGAAAGACAGGTCTGCCAGCTCACGCAAAACATCTCAGAGAGCGGTGAGAGTAACCTTGACGTTTGAATGGTTACCTTTTTGTAACAGTAACTTGCCACTGGATCTCTTTTATCACTGGATTCTGTCTTGCAGTAGACAGCCATCGCACTTTGTACAGAGGCCTGAATGACTTTGACAGTGTATCCTCATCAAGAATCTTTGCTAGGTCTTCTGATTTTCTCCTGTTTACTGTGGATCTAGAGAAAGTGAAATGAACTGTTCCACATCACGCATCAAAGGTACATCTTTCCACACATCATCAAAGTCCTCTCTATGGACCACACAGTGTTGTTCAGTTAGTTGTGGTATTCGCCGATTTAATAAAGCTGCAAATCCGTTGTGCTTTCCTCGCATTACTGAGGCACCATCAGAGGTCAGCATCACCCTTCTCTGCATGTCTAGTTCATGCTTGGTGTAAAACTGAGTTATTGCCTGCACATTATCCTGAAAGGTGCATGTTGTCAGCTGGATGATGCCACCAAACAGTTTTATAGTTGACGTTATTTTCCTCCCTGTATTTAATATACAGTACTAGCATTTTGTGCACTGTTATGTCTGTGCTCTCATCTATGATCAGGGTGTGCCAAGGTGCATTTTTAACTTTACACATCGTCTCATTCTGCACTGTTTGATTCATTGAATTCACAAACTCAAAGGCATCATTTTTGCTTCGCCAGCTTTCTGGTATACTCATATACTTTGCCATGTGATGGTGAATTTGTTGAGCCGATAGCATAGAATAATTCATGTTGATGGCATGTAGTAGAATATTGTTGATGAGAACTTTAACTTGCTCGGGGTTGGATTTCTTTACAGCTTGTTCCTGTTCTCTCTGTCTTTGGGGCTCTCCTCCAACAATGTACCCCATCCCCATCTTACACTTCTAACTGCTTTCTAATGACTTTTGTGCTGTCCACACTTTCCCCCCGAAAACTCGCTTGCTATTTTGGCCTCACAACATGTTTTGCAGAGCGGACCTTTCTCGCTCGAAAAAGAAAAAAAATCTCACCCAGTTTTTTCTTCTGTTTGCAAAACCATCTTAAAAGAATTGCATTGCGTTTTTTACTTTGGCTTGGTGAGGGCATGTGCCACTGCCTCTTCGTTTTGCCATTATTATAACAGGTCAACATAAGCACCACATCGGCCACACCACTTACCTAGCTAAAACACCGGTGGCGGCACATAAAGCTGTCATAGCCCGTCAATGACTTTGATTAGCTGCGTACATACGTATGCGAATCGCATCCTTGGCTGGAGCAGCCAGTCACCCGTCACTCACTGACTCGCACTGCAAAATAGTACAGAATGAATTGTTATGTGTTCATTTTATTGTCGATTCAGTGCAGATTTTCTGTGCGTGGAGACTGTGTCAGCCGTGCGCAACTGAGCGCGTGGGCAACGTAAAGGGAGCAGTGCCTGGAGACATCTTTTGTGGCATCTAGATGATATCAGAAGTGTTGTGGATTTTATTCTTTTAACAGTTGCTAACTTGGCCCATGTTTATTCTGATAGTAGCTTTGATTAGTATTTTCTGTTAACCTAGAAGTCATTTGGATGATGAATGTTCTCATCTGCCAAGAAATCTGCTCCAAACGCAAGTGCTGCCTTCCTCTACCCGTACCTGAGTTGTTTGTTGACCTTCTTTGTTAAATCTGTGAAATGCTGAAACTACAAATAAACTAGTGCACTTTTTTGTTCCTCGCATTCCTCTATCTTTGAGTCAAATGTTTAGTGCTGTTTGTACTTAGTTCTGGAGCTGTCAGTAAGAAACTAACATGGCGACTCATTACGGGTCAGCGAACTTTATAGACATTTACACTTAGGAGTGTACTTACTTTTGTTGCCAGCGATTTAGGCAATAATGGCTGTGTGTTGAGTTATTTAGAGGGGACAGCAAATTTACAATGTTGTACAAGCTGTACACTGACTACTTTACATTGTATCAAAGTGTCATATCTTCAATTGTCCCATGAAAAGATATAACAAAATATTTTTAAAAATGTGAGGGGTGTTCTCACTTTTGTGAGATACTGTATATATAATGTTTATCTGGTTAAATTCAGTATAGTTCCTACAACAGTTTTCATTATAAAATATGTTCATCTGTGTGTGTGTGTGGCACCAGAGGGAGTGTTCGCCCAGGGCACCAAAGGGGCTGGGACCATCTCTGCCCCCACAGATCGAACTACAGTCATGCTTCTGGTTTTCACTGTAACTCACTGCCACAAGGTGGAACAAAGTACCAACAAACTGTAAAGAAAAGAAAGACTCAACCCACTGGTGCAATGGCGAACTCTAGTGGAAATTACTTATTTGAGAAAACAATGATTAGAGCTGTTAGGCTTGATTTCGAACAACACACTTAAAATGAGGAGATTGCACCACTTTGTGAATATTTTATTTGAATCATAATAAAAATGGGTATTTTTTTACTCTAGTAGAGCTTCAGAGAATAAATGCCAAACACACTGAAGCTAAACATGTTGGACCAGAACCCTTTAACTGGGCTTTTTCACATATTTGACACCCATTTGTTTGTCTCATAATGTAAAGTCACAACTGTAGTAGCTGGCAGCAGGGGCTTTACTCATTTTGGCAAATGAGATAAACAATAAAAATACTGTACAGGAAGGTGGAGTCTGAATCCACAAGTGTACAAAGCTGTATAAAAGATCAATTAAACTTTTATTTAACACATTATATCTGTTATTATTAATATTATATTAATATCATTCTTAAACATCATCGTTACATTCGGCGCCAGTGAAATGTTGATGCCCCTGAAGGTGACATTTATCCACCGTGTTCATACAACCATTTCCTCCCCTAACCTAACATTCACACATGCTTCAGTCGATGTATCAGGGCAAACTAGGGGTCATGCCCGAGGATGCTCTGACATGCAAAAGAAACCAGAGATCAAACCACAGACAAGTTCATTAGCAGGCGACCCGCTCTACCTCCTGAACCACGGCCAAATGCAGAGATTTCAAGATAGGTAAGAAGGTCGGGATATTTATATAAAACATACCTTTAAAATAAAGAATATGGAGGATGCTGTTTTGAAAATCTATATTTTTTTGATGGTGGGAAATTACAAATCAACATGAAATTAAAAATGATTAAGTGAAAAAACAGGAAAAATTTAAAAGGATATATACATTGCTTTTAATGATTATGCATGCATGAATTTTTAAGAACTGAAACTGTACATGTAAGAGTAACATGTGTGGTGAGGGAGGAGCAGCTAGCAGGCCCAGTGGGAGTGTAGCATGGAAGTCCAGTCAGGCAGGTAGGACACTGGGCTTTTATTTGGCATTAACAGTAAGAAGTTCTCCACGGCTCTAGACAATCCGGCCATACATGTCCCGGGGTCAGGTAGATGTCTGCACCCGCCCGTTACAAGGTCTTTCTGATATCAGGTGAGAAGAGAGCAGCATGCTCTTCTGCACTGGCTGCAGACAGTCCAGTGTAAGGGTCTCCCCTGCTACCACAATAGTGTAAAGACACCCCCTAGCGGTGCAGTGCCATAATGACAGTTGTTACACAGTGCTAAAACTGTAATGTGGGTTTGTTTGTTTTTTAATATGAACAACTTAAATCTTTGGTTTTAAATTCCACTTTCTCATTTTTGAAAATGAAAAAGTAAAATAAGAAAAAGGAGGGAACAACAAAAAAAGTAGCATCTGTACACATAACTGCGATGCATTTTTTTTGAACATTTGTGTGTTTCTTTTTCGTTTAGAGTTAACCTCATTTTACCTGAACTCCCTTTACATTGCATTGGTATCTTTGTATGTGACAGAGAGACATATTTCTGATAACAAATGTCATACTCATGCATGCTCATTAAAAAAAAAAAAAAAAACCTCAACAAAAACAGCACAGCAGTACGAGAAGACTGGAGAGACAGCTGTGATCTTATTAGTCCACCGGCTCAGGGAGGTCCTGGTAGCTGTGGACCTGTGGATCGTACTGACTAATCTCAAATTGTTCACGGTTGAGCTCAGCGTATTCTACCGAACCCTGCAGACACACAAGCAAAGACAATAAAGATTCTGATTATTAAATACACAACACAAAGCAGTATTTGATCGTGGCTGCAAATAAGATATGATACTTTCAAATCTGATTTTATGTTTTATGTTTATGTGGATTTTATGCATCATAACAGATGCCAAAAGCAAAAACTGCAAATTGTCTACCAAATATTCTGACCTGAGCAAACTGGTGCTATCCAGAACACACAACAATGAGAAATTAGCCACTTTTAGACAGTGATGTCACATCCTCAGTTTATTCTTCAAATTCCCCAGTTTAACCGCCTTGAGCACCATTTAAGGACAAATAGCGCGGCCATCAGTGGTATGTTTAGAGCTCAGTGGGAGACAGTATGTTGGCTGAGATGGGATTGAAGGTAATTTGACTGGACCGCAGCGCCTGATCTGACTGCCTGATAGGGAAGGAAGCCCCGGCCCAAATGCTTTTGTTCTCGTCTGGAAACTTTGACAGCCGTTTCCCTCTCTCTGGATTATCGGCCTGCAGAGGGTCACCGAGAGCAGAAGGATACATTACATGAGTTACTATATAAAACTGTGGTGATTATTTTACCCACTGGCAGAAAAAAAATACAAGTGTGCAATAAAATGAAGATAAACTTATACTGCTTCTCATCTTGTGTCACTTCCAGAACAAGATAAAAGCATGAATCATTCATTAATGCATAAAAATATACAGCACCAGTACTAATCATCACTCCACAGGTGCTTATGCATGATTCAACTGACGAGCTGTACCCGCCATTATGATGAACTCATACACTCAGTGTGCAATACTGAGGCTTTTACCTTGAATGTAACAAGTGAAGTGAATACATTCAATGCATTTATAACTCATAATACCTCATCAAATTTAGATGCGATCTTAAGAAGATTACGGATGTGTTAATCCGTGTGTGATACTGAGGAAGTGAAGAGGTTAAAACTCCAGCAGCACTTTTATGGAAGTATTTAATTGTTTGACTGAAGTGCTTCAGGGCCGTCATAAAAATAGAAAAGAACAAGTCATATACGTCCTCTGCCATATCTAAGGATGGGCTGGGCATCTACAGCAGTCATGTGGCTTCAGGCCATGGAAAGGGGTCCAATAGAAAACCTGGGTGGCACCATTTTGTTCCGTAAATTGTAGAAGTGCAACTGAAGCGTGCTGTTGAAGTTTTGCACCACTTGAAGTTGATTGGTCTGCTTCCAAAGGCTCCCAAAGGCCACCCAGACTCAGTGGCAGATCCATGTATGACATAGCAAATCTATTTAAAATGATTTTGCCTCGTGATGATTCTGGTGAAGGCGACAAGCTAAAACACCTCAGCTCGTACACATGACAAATCTCCGGACTTCATCATCTCATCTGTGCACCTTGGAAGCAGGTGCCAGGAACTTCTATGTTTTTATATTCCTGAGCGTATAAAGTACAGTAAACACAATGGATGTTTCTGGAAATGACGTGATGTACAAGACTGAAGGAACTCCTGTTATCAAATTAAACATGGACTCTGCTTTTGAAAACACTAAAAAAACCACGAGATTACTGTTACATGTCTTGTATTTGTCTTGCTATGATAACTGGGACAGGCTCCAGCCTATCACAACCTTGATAAGGATAAGAGGAAGAGAATCAATGGATGGGTGGATGTCATGTATTTGTATACTTAATATAAGGGCGTATAAACAGGTCACAGGCAGTAATAAAAAGTGAAACATGTGCTCTCTTGCCAACAATCCCACCAAAGATGTCTGAAGACGAGTGTGACTGTGCAGATAATTACTCACATAGTCGGGGGGATCAGCAGCACCTGCAGGAAATAGTATCAGTGGTTAAATGTGCATTGGTTGGGTGTGTACACTGCTCAGTCACTGGCTGACCTCAGCGTCATTCATTAGTCATTTGGCAGTTATGTTGACCTGGGTGACCTTGCTGACTCATTCGTTCTTCCTCTGCAAAAGCCTTTGTTTCAGCCTATAAGTTCAGTCTCAGTCATCCAAATCGATATCTACCATATTCTCTCTTTCAAAGATTCTTCTCTCATCGTCTTTTATCAGTGCTGGACAGGAAACATTAGGACTCCGATGGACTTCTTGATAGAGACATGCAGCGTCTGGCTGCTGTTCTAATAACAGGAAGTCCCTGCCAGTAGTAACAGGATATGGTCATGGTTGTGTAGCTGGAAGGGGTAAGCTGTCTTGCTATGAGTAATGGAAGTTTTTAATCTTCAAATGATATTTGGTTAGATCTGAAGTGTCTCTGATAAAATCAGACTGCAGGTTTTAAAGCTGCATTATCTCATTATTTGTCACTCAGAAGCAGCACAACCAGATAAGAAGCTTATATGATTAAACAATCAATAGGCTGATAACCAAAGCCTAATTATATAGACTCAGAACAACACTGGTTTCATTGGGAGGTTTCCATACTACAGAGGACCAGAACTGCAGGTCTTTACAATACTGATATTTTTCGTTTTTAATTTGTATGTATGTTTAATGAATGTCTGGATTTATTTATCCCACAATTTCCACATATATTTATTCACATTTTTGTGTTTTTGTAACACTTTTTTGTATTTTTCCCAAATTTTGTGGAAAACCCTAACAACGAAATCAAGCAGAACAAAGAAAGAGCAGACTGTCAACTGATATCGGCTGAAGAGTAAAATTATTGTTTGTGTCAGAGTCTGAGAGCAACAATAAAACAGTGAACATATTATTCATAATACAGCACAGGCCTAATTTAAATGTTTTAAATTTTTTGATGGCTCCATTTTTTAAAGGCAACTAAAATATTGTAAATATCTCAAATTAATTAACTCTTACATTAATTATTATTTACGGTGGATATTCTGGCATATCATTTTTTAGTATGTGCTTATTATTCTTTATGTACCTATTATTTATTTGATGTTGGCAGTTTTAGCCCTCCATATCACAAACTATTAAGGAAGACATCAGACTGCTGAGCAGCACCATTGTGAAACTAACTTTCTGAATAGTTTCTCACAGATTAAGTTAAGCAGTGTGAGAGAGGTTCATCTGTGGATGGTGAGACGCTGAAAATAAAAAATAAATTAATTGCTGTTCAAATTTTAGCCTACTGCCTGATAACATTTAGAGAAAAACACATATTAGTGGGATAAAATGCCTTTTCATTTTATTAAGAATACATCGACTGTCTCACAGTGAGAGTCCTTTCTAACAAAAAACTGAAGTGACAAAAACTCATTTTCAGATGGTTCTGCTGCTTTTCATCTGAGAATGAACAAATCCATCAAATTTGAATAAACATCTACTTAATTATAAATAATTATAGGGGCAAATTAAACGTAATTTTTTTTAATCAAATAGGTTTTTCCAGTTTTCCATATTCACTTTCAAAAGCAGCAGAGCTGAAAGATGGTAAAACAGTTTCAAAAACCTGAAGCAAATTGAAAAGTTTGGTAAAAAAATAAAAATAAATCCCTTTGTAGTTATATAAACAAATCTAAAGTTAAAATGTAAAATCATAATTACAAAAATAAATAACGAGAGCTGCTTCAAAGATCAAACTCACCATTTGGAGAGTTTTGGAGCTCACTGTAAACTGTGTCTGTGCCTTTTCTCAGTGGAACTGTTAAAGTCAAAAGAAACACATTAGTCTGCCTGAGCATCAAAAGACAAACTTTAGCAGATACTGTCTCTGTGATCTATAAATAGGCAGGTTATGTCACACTCCAACTGCCATCTCAGGTCCGATGGGACCTTGAGCACAAGAACACGAGGAAGAAGAAGAAGCAGAAATCACTCTGGCGTTTAGTTAAACCCTTCCTGTTTATAAGGTCTGCAATGATTGTGGAAATCCCAGCAGTTATCTCTGCATTTACAGCAACCTGGAGATGTATTAATTATGGGTAATTAGACCCCTCCTAGTACGCGTTGGTTGCTCTTATCAACTATAAAGGAAGTGCATAAAGCGGTGAAAATGACTTTGTTCAGGAGGTTTGGGGAAACTGCGAAGAAAGGAACAAGGACAGACCAACAAAAGGTTTAAAAAACATTTTGTGTAAAGCTGCATATTATTATATATTAAGCCATTTATTTATTATTTACTTATTTTCTCTATTTGTTATTGTATTTATTTCCCCCCTCTTTTCCCTCTTCATTCACATCGCACACAATAGCTTCCTAATATTCCTGACGACCGGCCTTGTTTCTATAAGTATTGTATGCCTAAGTCTGTGTCCTAATGTGTCTTCTCCCACAGTTGTTTCGTTTTTTAAAATAAATACTGGATTATTTCCCTTCTGTGTTCGTGCACTGCTGACCTCTGGCAGGATCTGTTGACCGGGCGTGCACCACCTCCGTGTACTCCACGTTAGGCTCGTTGGACACCTCGCTGATCTCATCGTCGCTTTCTGCACCAATAAAAAAATCTTTAACACACTGAACTATTTCACTTTCATCTTGCAATGCTATAGCTATGCAGCCAGGCTGGAAAAAAGCAGTGGTATAAATCTGGAGGATGGCTACACAATTCCAGCTACTCCCAACTACACCAGGAAAACCTACTTTGTAAGGCTTAAATTCCTTTAAGAGGTACATTTTTAGTAGAAGGATCATCTGACCACGTGACCTTCTTCTTTTTTTTTCTAGAATAAATTCTGCACTTTAGAGCAGGGGTCTCGAACTCCAGGCCTCGAGGGCCGATGTCCTGTAGGGTTTAGATGTGTCCTTGATCCAAAACAGCTGATTCAAATGGCTAAATTACCTCCTCAACATGTCTTGAAGTTCTCCAGAGGCCTGGTAATGAACTAATTATTTGATCCAGGTGTGGTGACCCAGGGCACGATCTAAAACCTGCAGGACAGGCCTGGAGTTCGAGACCCCTGCTTTGGAGAAACCATGCAAAGTATAATGGTGTGGGTTTAAATTTGGATTTTTATTTTTTTAATTTGTGTTATTGTTTCAGGCCTCATAGCTTCAGAAGAATGTGGGATAGCCACATAAAATGTTCAGGGCTGAAAAACACATGTAAGCTCTGTTCAGAGCTGCAACCAAATCATTTTCACACCATGTGTCACAATCAGTCTTTTTTATAAACTTCATAATGGACAGCTGTCATAAAGTGAGACAAAAGGGGTAAAGTTATTTTAAAAAAGAATAAGCTGTTTCTGAGGGGGTCAGGTGGGAACTTTCTCTCTAAATTTAACTCATTTTAAATGAAATCATGTCAGAGCATTAAACAGTGATGATGTTCGTATCTCATCTCACCTGTTTCAGGTTTCCGTTTACTCCACACGCTGACTTCAGCTCTGTCCACCTTCACTGTAAAGCAGACAGGCAGATTGATTGACTGCTTAATTGATTACAGGTTATTAGTCATCCGCCAAAATTAAAGTAACAAAAAATGTGCACCAGTAAGAATAAAAAACATACCTTAATAGGTAACTAGTAGTAAACGCTTACATTACATAAACACAGGTGTGGTTCATTACTTTTTGATCTCCTTGTTGCTGTTGGGTGTGCGGCTGGTAGTCTCACACACAGAGTTACCAGCCTCCCCATCTAAGTCTTGTCAAGAATGAGAATAAATGCATTTCCCCAAATCTCCCTTCATGTTTTCACATGGTCAGAAGAGATAATGAGATAAACTTTTGGCGGCACACTCCCTCAGCTCAGCCCACCGGGGAGATTGAAACCGTAACAAAAGCAGCAGATTTTAGATTCTCATCTGGAGCACACAGAAATCTTTTACTGCTTCGTAAACAATAGGTTGTTAATTCAGCAGCGGCTGAAAAGCAAAAACAACTTCCCAGTTGGTAAACCAAAGCTTGTGTGATTAATTTCCTCCACCTACTGCACTCATTCAAACTTGCCTGGGCTGAAACAAAATAAGCTCCAACCCTCCTCACCAACACTGGTTTTTATCAGCAACGATCCCCGTGAGCGTGCTCTGCTCCAACATAGGAAGTCTCTTGCAGACTCCATTGTTTCAGTTTTTCAAGGAAGTCTCTGTTGCACACATTCTTTCTGAGATATTAATGTTGATTTCTTTTGCCTTGGGTTTAGGATAACCAAACACTATGCATGTATGATAATAATAAATATTATTCTTGGACATTTTTACACAAATGTATCCTCAGATGAGCAGGAAAAAATAAGTATAACGAATAAAGGGCACCAACACACCTCTAAATTAAACCATTATATTTATTCTACAAGTCTCTCTTCCAGTCAGAAAAGGGATCAACCAAAAGTATATACACACGTTTCCTGTGAGTATAATAAAGCGTATTTACAAATCAGCCCGATTTTAAAAATGCATTTGAGACTAGTAGAGCAAAGTAGAGTTGTAGTCGTGCAACTGCAGACAGACACAGTGAGCAAAGAAACAAACAGCCAGACACGATAATGTTTGGTATAAAGTCAGAGGCCATTTAGGTGGCAGGAGGAGGGGAGAGGGAGCAGTGAGTGTAGTTTTTTAGCCTCCTTTGTAGTGAAAAAATATCTGTCTATAATGTCCTAAAAATTAGCATTATTAACAGGATTACTTTTACTCGTATTCATCCTGAAAAGTCTTTCTGTGAACTTCCTTTTCCTTCAGAGTAAGTAAACATTGCATCAATGTCCCTCCGCCCACTGCTGGGGCATCTCTACACTGTAGCTGGGATACTGTAGCTGCTCCTGTTGCTGATGTCAGCAGGTGCCGACGCCACGCTATGTCGCGTCCCATTGGTCACTCTCCCCTCCTTGCCATCAAAGAAAGACACTGCGTCTGGAAGAAGATGATAACGGGCGCTCTGAGCAGTTTGCAACAAGTGTGACAATCAGTGCCCTGCGCTGTGACTTCACTATCACCCAGCATGCACCTAAGGCTGTTTACTTCCTGCAGCAAAATCCTACATTTCCTGCCTCTGCTTAGACACAAACATTTCCAACTAAAATACTAAAAACAGTGACAGCAAAGACAGACAACACACTCAAACATGTGAACATGAAGAGAAGGGCAACACAGACTGTACCACAAACAAAAGGTAACCAGGTCTCCTTTGCAGGAGCCATGCATGCATAGTAGAACATGGATCATTTGGGGGTGTGGGTTACATGCTGCAGGCTACGATTGTGCGAGTGAGGGGAAGGATTATTGCATGGTAGCATAATGACTAATGAGGCCAGTTAGTGACACACAGGAGAAAAGTAAAACCAATCTACCTGTGGCTGCATTATAAACGTCTGTGTCGTGGGTTAGATTCACTGTTAAAGGGTCATCTGATTTAGGGCTCGAAGGCTTTCTGAGAAATGGTGAAAATAAAGTTAGCTCAGGCAGCAGTGAATTCAAAAAGAAATCAAACAAATTCCACTAATCACCATAGCAACATACATAAAAACAAAACTATAGAGGTGGTTCTGCATGTTGTGGTCATTTGTTCTCTAGCTTACAGCCTGCTTCTTGCCTGCACATGTTTTCTTTATAAAAATCAACCATGCCTGAATAAGCAGATTTAATAAGAGTAATTGAAAAAAATTGACTTTTTGGATAACTGGCTAAAACAAAAACCCAAAACAAAGCGCAGGATATGTGCTGTGATTGTTTAAGCTCGTAGTTTCATTCATTTTCTACCAGGGTTTATAGTATTGGTGTTTTTTAATTAACAGTTAGTGTATTTGTGATTTCTTTTAAACATAGACCAGAATAATAAAGCACGTGCTGTATTAGATATTTGTATGATGGCTTATTACAGCCGATGTAGGTAGGGTACTATTCAGAGATAAGGATATTCTTGGACATTAAAGGCGATCTATTACACTCTTCCTCATTATCCTCATCATCCTCATCAATATCATTATTGATGTTCATGTGAAACATAGCCAGATTTTCAAATAGTAAGGTCAGTCTCTGTCCAGGTAATTTTCAGGTTCAATGCTGTGGGTGTGAGCACAGAAGCCACACCCACCTGCTGTTTAAATCTTCTGTTTTCAAGGGGCAGCCAATCAGAAGACGGTTGAATTTAAGAAGGAGGAGTTGAAGAAGCTTGCTTCAGACAAACAAAAGATCTCCTTTAAACTTTGTAACACATGATGTTTATGTTATTTTAACCACACTAACATGCACCACAACCAGTATAGTTCTTTAGAGACACCAAACACTACTACAGGACCCGAGCCATGAGCGAATAAAACTAACATCTGCAATATCTGTCACATTCAGAGGAAGCAAGTATTCATGATAACTCACACTGACAGTTCAGCAGCTGCTTCTCTTCTATCTACAATAAGAGAGGACAAGTGAGGGGAGCAGAGGGGAAAAAGGCGAAGGACGGTTGGTTGTCATACATAGACAACAGAGGCCTGAGTTGCTGGAGGATTGTAAGTCTCTCTACCTCTCTTAGATTTGATGTTCAGCATGCTCGCCACCAAGAGCAGAACTAACAGCAGCAGCAGCACCAGACAGGCCACGACAATCAACCCTTTTTTCCACGGTGCCATGAATACTGTAGAGAGACACAGATGGGAGGTGAAGTCAGTAACACAAAAGAACATAAAAGGGAAAAAACAGCAGCTTATAAAGGAGAAGAAGGTGCTAAGATGGGGTTAAAGGTAGATGAATACAATGATCATTGTTTTTGTTTGTTTGTTTGGAAACCTTCCACGTTTAAACCGTTCCTCTTTCTAAGCATTACAGGAGATGGAAATGTGCGTTTGCAGGACAGTCAGTGTCTGCAGTCTGAAATATCCATCTGCAGATCTGGAGACATCTTTGTCAGCTTTTACTATCATCAAGTCAAAATTCAGAATACATGCCCCAAAATGTATTTTATAATGTATTCCGTTACATTACTCAATGAGAGTAGCGTATTCTGAATACTTTGGATTACTTAATATATTATCAAGCTTTTTACATCTACATGAATGTACTATTGCTGTGTGATTTATTACTTTTACCAATACCAACTAGATCTTGAAATCTTAATATAGATGTGTAACAGTAGGTGGACATTAGGTAAGGCTGCACTTTTTGCAGCGATCTCGTGTAGAAAACTATTCCGCGCGTATATAAATCAGGTCCGCGGCTCCGAACCGCAGTAAAGGGACCTCTGGCTAATGCTTCATGTTCCATGTCGGGCTCGTAACCAAAAACTAGCTTTACTTTGTTGTCTGGGTCAACTTTGCTAGCCAGAGACAGAGAGAGGCGAAGAAAAGCTGCTCCAACAGAACTTGTTGTTTCAGAGGAAAACACGAACACAGTGTACAGTTAAGTCTTGATAACTCACTCACAACTGGGCTACACTGCCCATGAGGCTACATTCTTTAGGGCTATGCCTGTAACACTCTGCCTATTGCCTTCATATTAAATAATTGTTTGAGCAATAATTTAAAAAAAATCTTTCATTACATCATTATACGGGCTGCAAGTAGAGGTCACATGGGCCCCGAGATTGGACTCAGGCACTCTGTTATTGCGTGTTTTGTTTCCACCGGCGTGGAATTACCAAAAACAGAGAGGAGACAGCCTAACATATGAAACAGGAAAAGACCACCGTGTAATCCCTTTATTTCAACAAAGTAACTGTATTCTGAATACCACCTTTTAAATGGTAAGTAAAGTTACTCATATTTTGTATTTTAAATATGTAACGCCGGTACATGTATTCCGTTACTCCCCAACACTGTCTGGGACAGAACATGTGCTAAACTAACTGGCTAAAGTCATAGTGAATCCATCCACCTTAGCTGCCTTTCTGTCCTACTGGCTACTTGTGGTATTGCAATGCAAAATAAATTTCCTGCAGGACTGAAGACTTGGTTAGACTGAAGAAAAGGTCGTGGTTTGGGGCTGTTTCTGACATTGAAATAAAATACTGTACGACCAATAAGAGCAGGGTGATGCCTGCTGAGCTCAGTCTCACCTTGTACATTTACGTTCTCACTTCTGACCTTGTTGGCGCCGTTGGAAGCCTCACAGTAGTACTCGTCACTGTCATTTTTGGAGACTGGTTTTATCTCCAAGTTTGAGTAGGTCTCTGTGGTGGTGTTGGTTTGCAACGGTACTACACTGCCGGTTCGGTACCACTTAAAGGTGACTGGCCCTGTGCCATTAACACTACATATGAAATAGAGTTCTTTTCCCTCTGAGATTTTTAGTGAAGAAGGGATGACGGCCAGAGTCATTTGGCTCAAAGGCACTGGGAGAACAAAACATGGAAGCAAAAAGGTGAGATTAGGCAGTATTGTAAAGTTTTACTTTGGCTTTAAAACAAGAACTTGTGTTTACAGTGGTTTTTGTGCAGATTAAACAGGAAGGACACCGTTTCTTGTTGTAAATGTAACTAAAAGTTTGAACAGGATGCAAGTTCAAACTGTGTGTGTACTGATTTGAAGAGATACACACTATCTCTTCAAATACACACACAATAGAGTTAGGGTTGGGTGGTCCTTTCATGTTATACCGCTTAATGCCAAAAGGTGTTGCAGTGAGTAAATGCAAGCTTCAATTAACCAGACAAATCATTAACAATAAGTTCTTATTTACAATGTCACCCCGGCGAAAGCAAAGCTTCTCGAGAAAATAGAGGCGGAATTAACGATAAACGTTCAAAGTTAAAAATCGAATGAATCCAAAAACATCTTAATGTGCCCACTTTTAAAACACTGCCACCTGGTGGTCAAAGTGATATTTTACAGAGGACAAAATTCCCTTTAAAGACCGAGCCAGGCTAGCTCTTTCTGTTGGTTTCCACCCTTTATCCCAAATGTTCTACATATATTCTCATCTCTCATCTTTTATTTAAAAAAAAAAATGTAAAGAAACGAACAAAAAAAATCAGTTAGGCTTAAATATTTACCGATGACATTCACGCTGAGGTGTTGACTGGAGCCAGTTTTGTTGGAATGGAGACTATTCTTCGCCTCACACCTGTACTGTCTTTCACCAGGCTCATTGATGACATCCATAAAGACAGCTTGTCGATTTCGCTCCCGGATGACTTTTGTGCCCACTTGGACGTTATCCTTAAACAGGGTGTAGTTTATCGGCAGGCTGCCATTCGACTGACACAAGATGGTGAAGCTCTTTTTCAGGATCACCTTGTCCTCGATTGAAATCTTTAGAGCAGAGACATGAACTACAGAGGAGAAACAGAGCACAGACTTTATGAACTGAAAGTTGCTGCTGAAGGCTTAAATAGTGGCTATTTGTGTCATAGTGTAGAAACATAAATTATTCACAATTTAATGAAAGTCTCCTTGCTGATTAAAAGGTGATTTTTAATTTTGTGAACCTGAATGGTTGTTTGTGTTTTTGTGTTAGCCCTTTGTTGGACTAGCAGCCTGTTTGATAACTGGGCCCAACTCCAGCTATCAAACTGGATACGACGATGTTGTAATAATACTAAGAAAGGAAGAATTTTTTTTATCAGCTTTTATTAAGAGCTATGACTGCAATAAAACAATATTTTTAAATGACTGTTTTCGGTTCATTTTCATGTCTCAGAACGGGTTTGCAGATTTACACACTGGTAGTTTTTATTGCTTAAAATCTAAATTTAATTTTAGTTACTGTCAGTGTGGTTAAATTTGTAAAAACAGCAAAATAAGGAGATTTTGATGCATCCGGTTATTCACAGTGAAATAAATACAAAATCGTGAGCCAGCCGCCTCCACTAACTGCTATGGTTAGCTGGAGACAAACAGCTGGATTACAATCAATCACAGTAAACTCTGATTCATTTTTGATTTTTTTTTTTTTAAATGATACACAGCAAACGTTTCCTGACAATTTCTACATTTCAGATTTCTCAGATTTTTTCCCCCTGAAGTATATTTTATATTTTATTTTCAAGTCAGGTTTCATAGCCAAGATTCTTGGTTCTAGTTTCCAGTGTTACCATTATTATTATTCCATTATTATCCTTTGGCATTATTGCCTTGATGGAGTAATGTGAAAACAGAGAAAACAGTTCTCCTGGGTGATGGTGGCGAGTCACAGGTTTGCCAGCTTGGAGAACGCAGCTCATGTCCTGTTCGGGAGTTTTATGTTGAGAACTTACTGGTTAGGTTCAGGCATTAGGTTTAACAAAAGGCTTGGTTTAGTACCTCACAGGCTTTCTCTGTGCATTTAAATGGTCCTTAACATTGTCCTTAAGTGATGATTTAGGAGTAACTGATCTGTCTAAACTACGAGTGTCAGGCAGCGATTTGACAAAAGTATCTGATGCCATGGGAATAAGCATAGTCTATTAAATTGGCGATGCACTTTATTATTTTTATTTGTTCATTTATTTAAGCAACTAGTAGCTTTTGTTTTGTTTTGTTACTGAAATTTGATTTCTCTTAATTCAGGTGATAACTGATAACTGTAATACAAGAGCTGGGCCAGCACCAATGTAGAAGGAGTCCTATCATGACTTGTATGTAAAATGGACTTGACTGCACTGACATAACAATTTTTTAGTCTGATGAACCATTAGACCACATTTACCAGGACTCACACATTGTCTCTGCACACATCACGCAAAGCTACTTGAAGACGAGGGACAACCTGTGCCACATGGACACATCAGTGCATTTAGAGATGAAGCTATTTATTGACACATTTATGCACTGAAGGACCAGAAGGGCATCAGTGTGCACTATACCCTGGACCCAAACAGAGATAAAGAAAACTCACCTTTAGGACGAATCATCAGGGTTTTGCTATCTTTCTTGATGCCTTTGGCTTCAGCTGAGCAGGTGTAGTTGAAATCATTCTGCAGGGCCTTCACATTAAAGACTCCAGGTTTACCAGAGCTTGGTAAGTTTTTAGATGGATAAAGAGTGTACTCCAAATCCTCCCTGTTGATTCTTTGAGAGGCAAAACGATCACTGTTGCAGGTCAATGTCATAATTTGCCCTTGAAAGACTTCAGTGGGAGACATGGTGAGACTGGGCACTGAGAAGAGCTCTGTGGATAGGTTTACAAAACACACCAAGTCAGCGTCTAGATGGATACATTTTTGCAAACATTAATGCAGTAACACAAAAAATGCTTAAACTATTTTAAAAGACCATTAGTGTGCTAAAGTGCATATTATTATTACTGAAATAGCAAATGGCTACAAAGTTGCATTAATTGCACAGCCAAAGCACTAACATTAGGGCTTCATTAGGGGGTAGGGATAGCTCAGTAGGTAAGGTGGTGGCCCCATGATCGGATGGTGGGGGGTTTGAAACTCTACCCTGAGGTACCCCTGAGTAAGGTACTGCCCAGGGAGCAGTGTGTAGGGACGGTAATACAAGCACACTCAGTGAATGGGTTAAATGCAGATCAATAAAGTATACTTTATTATTCAAAATATTGAGTCCATGAACCAGTGGTCCTACAGCCATCCGAAAAATAAGCTTCAGATAACTGTTTACAGAGGTCATCTTTCCTGTGTCCACTTACCAACCACTGAAATCTTCTTCTCAGAGTATTTCTCCACATTTCTCACTACCACTCTGCAGTCAAATGTAAGCGCTTCAGAGGCCTTTGGTACTGCAACCATGTTGTGGTTTATTGTAGAGTTGCCAGTCCTGAGAAGCTTGGTGCCCTGGCTCAGGAATAGCTTGTAACCTTCAGAGCTGGAGTGAACATTTTTTGCACTACACGAGATGTTGAGGTGGTCTCCTTCATAGATTGTGGAGTCAGGGAAAATCTTCAGTTCTGGTGTAATAGAAAGCTCTGTGGAGACAAAATAAATGAAGCACTGAGGTGAGACCAGTGCTTTCAAAAAGCAGCACAGTTTCAAAATGCTACTGACCTTTGACTGAAACAGTGACGTTGTTGCTTTTTGTTGAAGGGAAGGTGTCCTCTGCTGTGCGGATCTTGTAGGAGCAGTGAATTTTGTGGACGTCAGCACCGCTTAACCTGAAAGTGGTCTTTGCTTGGTTGGAGAGTTCTTCCACCCTGCTTATCTGTTCATCATTATCGAAGAAGAAGAAGATGAAGGACCCTATTTCACCCGGAGCTATACAGGTGGCTTGTACCTCCTCCCCTTCATTAACAACGTTCGTATTAAGATGGAGAACTGGCTGCGAGAGTCCTGGAAACATAAACAGACAGATCTCCCACATGTACTTGGTATTGCATTCAAACACATCCACAGTGTCACACGAAGGTTAAAAAGATTTTTGATCATAATCTGATCTTGTTTTGTGCTTTTCTCTCTCTGCTCTCCTTTCCAGCCAATCGCAGCAGATGGCTGCCCGTCCCTGGCTGCGATTCCGCTGGAGATCTGTACCTGTTAAGAGAATTCTTCCACCTCAGTCTGGCCAATTTTGAGGATTTCTTCTCCAAGATTTTGGGTGCTTTCCCTTGGTGGGTGTACTGATTAGGTAACTTCTCCGGTGTCAAATTTGAGGTTAGTCTCTTTATGGAGATAGTTTTGCTGTATTGTGACCAATAATATAACAGAGATGTCAGAACTGGACAGAATTACCCCAGCAGTGATGTCACTAACAATGTCATAACTTGTGCTTTTGGACTGTTGTGCACCTGACACTTATTGTAAGCTGTTGTGCAGGACTGCTGGTACGGTCCACCAGATGGAAAGGCACGAGTGGGTCAGTTTTTAAAGCTTTAAGTACCAGCATAAATGGACATCACATTTCTTGTAAACAATGACCAATAGGTCCCCAATAACTGCGGCTTCAGGCTTTTGCTCTCCACACTAAAAGCGCATATATATAATTTAAGATGATGTCAGGGCTGTTGGCGCATAGTTCTGAGCTTGATGTGAACTTCCCACAGCTGACCAGTGTGTAGGGAGAATATTGCAAGCATGTCAGTCATGTGTCATAAAACAGAAAGAAAATGCAAAATGTGTAAAAACTAATTTTTCTTTCATAAATTCACAAGTACATCCTCATGAATTCAAAAACTCCATCATAATCTGATAATACTGCAGCTTTGCATGAAAACAAACCCACCTTGTACGTTGAGTCTTTGCGCTTTGCTCAACTTGGTGTCGCCTTGGATGTCTAGCTTGCACTGATACAAGCCTGTGCTGAAGACTCTGGCATTGTGCAGCTGGTACACGAAGTCCTCAGAGGAGCCAATGGTCTTGGTGTACACTATCTTGTCATTCTTCAATATGGTGTACTCACGAATCAGCCCCTTGCCAGTACTCGTGCTCACTGTGGCATGGCATCTCAGAGTCACATTGGTCCCCGCAGTCACATCGTTCCTGGGCTCAATGATTAGCTCGACACTTTGAATTTTGAATTCTATGAAATGAGATTTAACAAAATCAGTTAGAACTCATTTATCCGACCATATATCCTCAGCCTAAAACTTTTAACCTCGAACCATTTTTATATTAATTTTACTCCTTTGAGAGTTCAGCCATGTTGAAGTGTACAGTGCAGTCCACTCTTCTTATTTTCTGTCACATATATATTGTGATGTAAGTTCATATTAAACACCAGAGTTCCAGATAATGAGCCTAGAGTATGAGCCAAAACTCAGGCTTCAGACAGTTTGTTCTACTATAAATAACTCTGAATTGAATTGACTTTGATTGAATTTGAAAGTAAATTCTACATATTACTTTATGAAGAACCTTATGTTACAGTTCACTACTATTTAGTTTTACAATATTTATGTTTTTCCTCAATGTATCTATCCCGAGCACATCATAGTATAGATATGCTTGGTGGATTTCTTGCTTTGCGTTACACAGTTATATGCTGTTATGTTTGTTTTGACTCAGGAGTGAGAGATTGTTAGTGTTTAGAACTCCCCGTGAAAACAAAACGTTTGATTATGTATTTGTTTTTTAGAAAAGGAGCAATTTTTTCTAAAAGGAGCTGAAATTTACTGGAGCTGTTAAAGAGAAATATTAAGCTTTAACCAAAGATACTCAGCTTGCTTTGCCATTTTTGCAAAAATGAGAGAAGTACAGCTAATAAACAGCAATTATGATCATATAGAAGAAACAGTAAAAGGTCCAGAATTTATCGTTCTTTGAAAATATTTTGAAAATCCTGAATTAGCATTGATATGAACAATATCAACTCAGGATTCCTCCTTATATAACAGATAAATTAACGTTGACTTTGGGGGAATAATGACAGGTCTGTGTTAGTAACATCTCACATTTTAATCACAACACAACTGACTAATGATGAAGAAAATGGTTGGCTGTCTCTTATGAGGAAAAACAATCCTCTCCCCAGGGCTTCTGTGCAGTAGGTGCTTGATTTCTCACAAATGGGTTCATATTAAACTGAAACAATTCAGGTGGAGGGTGAAGCTCCAGAAACATTTGTAGCACATGTATTTCAGCTAATGGCCTTCATCAGGGTTAGGATTATACTTAGGTGTCCCTGAAGGCACCATGGCAACACTTGGCTGAGGTAGCCAGAACATTTAGTCCACTTGTTCCAGGGAAGAAAAAGGAAATGAGTCTATTTGTCTTCTTGGTTGATTTAATCTATCATGATTCACAAGTTCACCGTTCATCACTGCGTCCTTTACTTTCATGCCACAGCCTAAGAACCGAGCAGTGACAGGTTGGGGGCTCGTCCGGGATGAGCTGCAAAAAATCAAACTCTGCTTCTGGTTTCATTTGCTTTAAATTTTACAAACAAGAATGACAAACCTTTAAGCCTCTTTGTGCAGCTTCTGAGTCACAGTTTAATCACTTCCTATTTAAAATGGCACTCCCTGGAGGTCATTTTGCTGATATATTTTCAACAACTACAACAAAAACATCTTTAACAGCTGTCACAGTATCGAGTTTCGTGCTCAGGAAGCTGATGTTTTTCTGTGGAATGCCATCACACTGGTAGCTATGTCCTGGCTGGATGTGAGACTCATACAAGAGACAATGCAAAATACAAACAATTCATATTGTATGAGTGTAAAATTCTTGGGTGAAAAAACAAAGGTAGGTGACTCCTCCTCCCCATTTTTTACTCACAAAACTGATAAGAATCACTTTGTAAACACTACAGGATCATACGTGTGCATTTTTGTATTTGCTCCTTTATTTTTGTCCTTGTGAAACACTCATTTTCTTTGTTTTGTTTAGTTTTGTGTGTGTAATCAGTTTTCTTTTAGTGATGCTTTTTAATTCTCAGCCCCTTTTTTCTGGTTTAATTACATCTGCAATCGTTTACACAGCAGCATGGGAAAGCTTTGATAATCACCGGAGTTAGTCCCAAAGCCATGACTCAGTTATGTTTCACAGGTAAAAACGAATGAGTCATTCTCAGGACACAGGTGTTCATGTTCGCAAATCTTTAGGGACAACACTTTGCATCCTAGTCTCATCTGCAACCGGAGAGGAAAAGACTTTTAAATTAACAACTGTGGTTTTTTTCTGCAAGTAATGAGAAACAAAAAGCATCTGCACAGGTATGTTGAAGTCTCCCCACTAGATCTCCATATGGTCAAGTATTAGAGACAACAGGCTGCTGCTGTGGCTCAGAGTGTGTTGTTTAGAGGAAGTAAACAAACCCTGAGAAGGCAGGAAAAGCACTTTGTTAGACAAACAGCTACTCGGGGGACCTTTCACCATTTCAGGGTGTGATGAATCTGGAGCATGCCCAGCATCATTCAACAGGACTGGCAGAGCTGGTGATGAGAAAAAAGCCTGCATGCAGGGCAGAGATTTGCTGCTGGTGCTCCATACAGATAGTGAGTCACAATACTGACATGTTGAGTTGGATATAACATCCAGCAGTACTAATTTTTCTTATATTTTACTACATAGAAAATAAAGAAATACTGTATGTTTTAATCCACAAAATATCTAAAAATTGTAATTCAGTTGTATTTAAATAGTCTGGTTCAAAACAACAGTTTTCGCTTCTATGATGTCGTACCTGTTCAAACAGTGGGAAGGAAGAACCTAAAATGAAGATATAACACATTTTGGGGTCAGCTTCAAAGAAAGGCAGGTGGGAGATCTGAGATCAAATGTGACATAATTGGATCCAAACTATAATGTGATATTTAAAACACCGGTATCATTTCCTAAATGTTGCCAATGGAAACAAAGGCAACAACATTTTAACCAAAGTTTTAAAGATAAAGGACTTTTAATGAAAGGTTATTTGACCTTAAAGAGGAGGAATCAGGTCCAGCTAAGGATAAGAGGCGATATTTAGAATATAAATATAATTTAAATATAATATTATATTTAGAATATATCGTATATGTTGTCAATACAAATAATGGAGACATACTTTTAAATCTCTCTGTATAGCATTATTATCACTTTGATCTAAAGATCAGTCTATTGCCTTTAAAGGAGAGGTCAGAGGTCAAATGTGACATGATATTTTAAATCTGTATATGGTACTTTCTACATGTTGACAATACATACCACACTTTTAAGAATCACAGTTTCTAAGTTATACGGCTTTTGGGCGCAGGACAACATGAGTAAAAGGATAAAAGAATAATTGAGTAATCAAAGTATTTAAATATGAGTACTGAAAAATATTAGAAGAGGAGAGCAAAAAAAATGAACCCTTTAGCTGATTTTTTTTGTATAAAACATAAAAACATAATGTGCCGTGTGGCAAGCAGTACATTTGAAAATGGACTGAATGGCTTTGTGAATATTGAGGCGAAATTATCATTGCAGAAACAATAAAAGACATAAAATCCAAAACGATGTAAAAACAGTTTTTCTCCCTTTGTGTGTAGGAAAACAGATACACACAGCCAGAAGCTCCTAAATGAGCTTTTTTCACTGGAAAGTGCAAAATACTATGAAAAGACTGAGATGTATTTAAAAAACTGCACATTATAAAATGTATTTATTATTGTGTTTATTGTGTATTATGTATTTATTAGTACTGTATGTATTTATTTCCTACAATGTGTCTCGCCTGTACACCCAGCTGTGTGTGAAATTTGCTAAAAATGTACTTTAAATAAAAAAAACAAAACCTTTTATGTCTTTATCTATCTATTCATTTAAGAGTGTAGTGTGTCTTGGCTATTGTCTTGTTAAATTATTTACCTCTCCTGATCTTTAACCTCCTAGGAGCTGGCGTCCACATATGTGGACATCACATTTTGGGTTCTCCAGACCAAATTACTAAATTTTGTTCTACGCGGGCCTGATATCCACTCACGAGGACATTATGTTGCCTCTGTTTCATCAAAATTTAAAACGAATATCCTCATACGTGACTCTCATTTTTCTTAGGAACAAAAATCGGGTAAAATAAAAAAATCTGGTGATTCTTTGTTTTTACATTCATTGGGTCCCAATATGCCCAAATATCAAAGAGAAATTAAAAATGCATGCAGTGGAAGAGTTCGGGTCTTAGGAGGTTAATACACTTTCATCAGACACAATCTGGAAAGAAGCTAATAAAACTGGTTATTTGTGTGTTTCTACTCATACTGAGGACTTTAACACTATAAGACACTTGATTCTACACACTCTAGGTGGTTCTTATCGACCACACGAACACTCACATCAATGGATTCATCAGGCGCGATTTGAGGTTCAGCTTTTTTGCCCAGAACATTTCCACAAACACACCTAAGAAATGACCCAAAATGCCCAACAACTGCAAAAGCTACACCTGATTCAGAAAAATACATCAAACACATCCACAAAGCCACTTAAACCTGGGTTTTACTTCCAGTTTGGACCTGCTGATAACACACGCCTTGCGTCAGACGTGAATCTGCACAGCTGATCCAAAGTGACTCATGCCTTCCATCACAAACCAACTTCAGAGTACAGGGAGGTGTGTGACAACGCTCGCCAACATGTTCCCAACGCTTTGTGTCGCAACCTTTCCACCATGGCAGAGACCAGAAATCTCTGATAACAACTCAGACTGTTTCCACAGTCTTAGTGGAAGATAGATGATTGACGCCAACCCAGTAAATGGAAAGTCAACAATAAGCTCAATGAAAACAGGCTCTTTCTGAGAGCCTGTTCAGCTCTTGTGTTTCCTGCAGATCAAGTCTAAGCATGGATTTACATCTCTCATTTAGCTTAAATGGTACTCACCTTGCTGTGTGTTCACCACGGTTGCTGAGTATAGGTCTTGGAAGAAATAAAGAATTTAAACCACAAAGTTAGAGACAATCATCAACTGTATCCTCAAATAAAAAAGTTTCTAGATAAAATTAAAAGTGAGTATTCTCACAGATGGACAGGAGGGTGAGGATGAGCCGTTGTGGGAGGCCCATGCTGTCTTAGGAACGCTGCTGGCTGTCCTGGAGGTTAACAAGCTTGTGACAAAGCTGGCTGCTGGTGTGGTCGTGTGGCTGGTCAGGATCTGGGAGGCGGGAGCGCTGACATTAACGTGGTGCTTTAGCTCAGCCGCTCATTGGTAAGGCAGTGACGACGGTTATCACACCAAGCAGTCATCGGCTTGGCTTAATTTGACAGGAAGTGAGTGTTGTTTCCTCAGGATGTTCAAACCGCCCCGGCCTTAGCTGTTGTGGAATGTTCTCCTCTGGCCTCCTCTGTGTCTCTGTGTGTGAAATAGTAGCCACAATAATGCTGAATAGCATGGGGTGCAGAAGTGAGGTCTTTGACCTCTGACTTGGCCATGCAGGTAGGGAGAAGAAGACGAGCACAACATTCTTTGCATAGAGAAGCCGTTTCCTGATGGGAAGATGCTTGGCTCAGCTGCTGAAAACAGTTTTCCCTGACATAAATCTGAGCACGGCTTACAGGACACATGGAGATGGAAATATTCCCACTACTTTGTTTGGTCTGTGACGTGGTAAAATAATTCCAGAGCAAAATCAACCGCAAAGTATTCAATTCTAAATGAACAGATTACAGTTGAAGTAAAAGACCTAAAAATATACGTGTGTTTAATTTTAGTTTACTATTAGCTTATTTAAAATTACATAAAACTGTAAAGTGCTTTCAAAAGTTGGAAATCATATGGAAAATTAGCTATAAAGGTGAATCAAGTTCTCAGGTAAATAAAATGCAATAAAAGCAATAGTAAGGTAAAACTGAACCATGGGAGCGTTTAATATTTAGAGGAAAAAAACTGGCAAATTAATATTGAAGAAATTATCCAAAATTAAAATACGTTTACAAGAATTAAAAACTTCCGAAAAACATTGTTTCGTCTTCTGTTAAGGAACCACATCAGCCTCGTCACAGGACAGACCGCACCCGTAAACAAAGGCTAAATGATTCCAGAGGCATTCGAGTGACGTCTGGAAGGACTTGACACAAAAACTTCTGAACGGGTCCAGCTCACTCACGTGTCTCCTCTGAGCCAACATCAGGAGGATTTCCTCAGTGAACCTTGATTTGATGAGGTCACCCACTGTAGTGAGGTCGGTCCAGACTTGCAAAGTGAAGGATTTGTCTTCATTTTAAGGGTTAAAAAATTATTACTATAATGAGTTAAAGTTATAGACAACACAGTGATGATAAAACATACTATAAAGAACAAAAAGAAAATGCAGCTGTGAAACAACCACAGGCCTCAAACCTACTTATCTGCAGTAACCTACCACATGCTTTTACTGCAGCAGTTCTCTGGTTAGTTGAAATGGGAACGGTCAGATTTCATGGTGCTTTTCTATCATCAAACTAAAGAAATGCCAACTTCTATGAGTATGTGCCTTTAAGAAAACCTGTTTTATATTGTTGGAACATTTTTCAGTTTGGAGCTGAACCTGCAGCTGGAAATATTCAGTCTTTTTAAACTATAAACAAGCACGTCACTAGAAATGACATTAAAACAGAATGAAACTTTACAGGCACGCTTTAATCATTTTATTAAAGACACAGCTGTTATTGTTACCATCACCACAAAACATGGTATTTTTAGACTTATATCCATCTGCACAATTAAATTATGCAGTACTGGGTCTAAATTCATTTACAAATAATTAATGAAACTTTGAATAAACAGACTACGAAACAAGAGAAAGAAGGGCGGGGTGTAAATGATTATTAAAAATTCATCCTTATTTAATGTTATCCTGAATTATTTATTTGAAAATTCATTTTTTCTAAATAGAGTATGAAATTGGATTTTTATTAATTAATTAAAACGTTATTTAATTTATGCCCAAGTTGACTGATCTTTTCATAGTTCCCTTTTTAATTTGAAAGTTTTATTTATGGGCTCATAATGCTCTTAACTGCTCTGTATAATAAAATTATTTGGGATTTACTGCATTTATTTTTAAATACATCAAATTAATTAATGTTTGCTTTAATTGTAGAATTCATCTTTATAAAAACGTACACTTTGTGGTCCTAACAGATCATGCCAACACACTCAATCACACACGAACGACCAAACCCAGTAAAGTAGGACAGGATGATTAATTCCATCCAGTGTTATTCCAGCAGCTGTAGCATTTGGGTGATTTTGAATTCTCTGATTCAGCTGCTGAATTTGCTAAAAGCAGCTAACAGGATGTTGTGGGTAACGAGAGGTTAGCTGGGAGCCAAAAGTCCATCAGGGACTTTTCTTAAAGGACCTTGAGTGCCCATGGAGCTTTTTGAAATTTCAAAGGTTCCTCCCATCACCCCCAACCAATCACAGCAGATGGCTCCTCCCTGATCCAGAGGTTTCTTCCTGTTAAAAGGGAGTTTTTCGTTGCCACTGTCGCCACAGGTCTTGCTCATAGGGGGGTCACCTGATTGTTGGTGTTTTCTCTGCATTTTTGTTACAATTTTTTTTTTAACAATAAAAAGCATATTGAGCCAACTGTTGTTGTGATTTGGCGCTATTTAAATACAATTGTATAGAAAAGAGGAAAAAAAACTGATGGCAAGACCAACAGTCCACAGATGACTAAACATCCATCTCGGTGTGACGGATGTGATGAGCAAGACGTTTGGCCCATAGTGACAAAATAAAACGAACACCATGTTGTGTTCAATAAGACTTTAAATGAGACTGAACTTCAGTTAAATGTTTAAGGAGGTCAAAAATAACACGTTCCAAGTGTCCCATTTTCTCACTTATATAATTATATAGAATTTGTATATATTATATAGGTCTATACAATTCACTATATAATTAGTCCTCTTTTTGAAAGCAGAGGTGTCGCCTCCTGCTGGCCAGTAGAATGTATGCAAGTTGTTAGTTTTTGGTGCAACTTTATAGAAATGCAATTTTAAATCATCCCATTCAACCTGTTTATGGTTTTTTTAGAAGTAAAATTGACACAAACTTTGAAACAAGCTCAGGTGTTAAACATATGGTGATGCACTAAGTTGAGACAAAAGTTGTCTAAATTAATGAAATCTCAGAAACTCCAAGAAAACTAACAAACATTAACATGAAACCTTCCCCTCCCCTAATCCGGTTTTATTTTGAACCACTAGGAGATCTCGTCGGCTTTGAGTAGTACATAGATCGTTTTCTTACATATTTCTTTGAAACAGCTGAACCGATGCAGCTTCAGGATATGAGACAATGCGTGTGTGGTGCATTGAGACTTCCACGTGGTGCCGGGACTTCCCAACAAACCTAAAACAAAATATAACTCTAATAAACTAAGCAGTGGAGTTTTAAGATCTCTCTTTAATTTAGAAAAGCAAAGCAGATGTTCATTTTTTTTCATAAAGTTTTCTTTGACTTTACAAAATTAATATAAATTCACACGAAACTAGAAATTAAAATAAGACAACAGACGCTTGTTTGCGAACAATTATTTATAATTTCGAAATTCATCCATAAAGGATATTCTCCTGTTTGTAGTGTGTTTCAGTAGAAACAGCTCAGCAACATCTGGAGGCTTCTTTGAATACACATTGAAGAAACAGACAAAACCCGGTGTTGTATTTGGTTTATTTCACTGATTTCATCTCCTGCTTTATGAACCACAGTCAGCAAAGCAGTCTGAAGTCACAGACACAAACCTGATTGTTTCACTTTTCCTTTCCTACTAAAGACTTTTTGTCCAGCTCTAAAATCTTAAAACTCAAAGCAGGATACTCAGAGATGAATGTGAGTGTGAGCTGAGGGCTTGGACCAGCTCAGTGACCGTGTGAGGGTGGAGACTGACGTGGTGACCGGACTGCATGTTGTGCGGTATGTTTGGTGTTTCCAGTTCACTTTCAGTCTACAAATCCACTCCGTCTGTGGGGGAAAAGCAAAAGCTCGGGAGGCGCAATGCAGATGGGAGGTGTGGCAGGAAAAGAGAGGGGGGAGCAGCCTTTGAATGCTAAAGCTCCCCCACCCACCCCCCGAGGCCAAGGCGAACAAAGAAGAATTAAAAACATAGAAAAATACAAGAAAAGGATGAAAAAAAAAAAAGATTAAAAAGGCAAAGCTGCCTCAGAGGAGAGGCACGACGATGGTGATAATGCACAAAAAAAAAAGCTTTAGGAAAGAGCACCACATTGACGTCAGTTTTCATGATCTCTTGCTTGTGACTGACCTCACCTGCCTATCATGCTGCAGGGGGAGGAGGGGGCTGACGGGGGCTCGTGAAATACCTGAGCGAAATCTAGGGGGCTGACTAAAACCTGATGCAGCGAGCAACAACAGGTGAGTCGGCGCTCTCTAAGCATGCGGCGCACTTTCGCTCCGTTACACATAATCAATCCAAAGAAGTCTGCAATAAAAGCAAAATAAGAGCTCAAATGAAACCCTGCAGCGGGGGTTCATCCAAAAAAAGAAAAACAAGGATCTGAATGAAGACAAAGCTGCGCCTGATTGGTTTAAATTAACAAGAAGCTTTACTTCTATTTGTATTTTCCAGAAGCCATAAAAATGAAAGCAGCTTTTTGAGGGCTTGTTTGACCCTCAGGTAAATCATAAAAACCGCCATCTTTACTGTGACAGCAGGTAAAGATGGCACAGCCATACGATGAAGTCTAAAGTAAACTCGCTGTCGTGAATGGAAATGTGTGCGTTTGTATTGCTGTACTGTGGCAGCCGAACACCCCCTCCAAATGGAAGTGTGTTTTTCTGTGGAAACAGGAAGAGCTTGAGGCTGGATCGATCACGAGCAGTCTTATTGCTTTGCAGAGGCAGGTAGGTAGCTGCCGCGGTCTCCAGGTAGGACCAGGTACTTGGCTAGCTCTCCTCTCACTGTGCTAGATACAAGGGCATGCGTCATCCTAGTAACAAAGCAGGTTTAGCTAAAACAAAAAGCACACCCCTCCGAGCCACAGCGAAGGGGACTGCATGGAAATGATGATTTTGTTTGGCACGCTGGGGCGAAGGAAGCGAGGAGGAGAACTGCAGAATGGGAGCAGGTGTCTTTTTGGGCAAGTCCAAGGCTATGAGAGCCCACTGTGGGCAGGGCACATCTGTGCTATAATTCCTTCTAACACTCACAAAAACAAACTCGTCACGTCTGCCGGCTTGACGTTTTCAGGGAACAGTA